ATAGATGAATAAGAATATAAATAACCACTAATTCTGGGATAGAAGTTGTTTTCTAAATTTTGTATGTAAGAGCTGGTAACATAGTTGGTGGTGAATCTTTAACTGTAACATGCCGGGGGTGGAATAATTCCCTGGAATTCTAAACATTTATGCATATAAGGTGCTATGCCAACTGGGTATACTAGCTGAAAACATTAAAATATTCAAATGATTATTATCAGGTAGAAATGTTAGTCTTTTATAGGTTATGCACAAAACTGTTTAATAGATGAACGTTTTACTGAGTTTAAATTGATAGCCTCCTACGATGCCATTATAGATCTAAAATATTGGGTGTCTTTAGTGTTATCGGGTGTTTTCGATAATTTCATTAACGTTTTGATAAATAACTCATCTCAAATACAGTATTGACTGAACTAACAAACAACATTTCCACTATAGGATGTGTTTAATTCACTTAGTTACCTTTTTTTAACTTTAATTATACTACTAAAGTGTTTATGTCGGTTCATAAAACAATACTATAGAATTTTAAATTATTCTCAATGGGCTATATGTTTCATGTTATCTATTATCAACGCCTGGAGATACCTTAGATTAATGGGTATTACATATGTGGGTACATACCTAATTGAGAAAACACTGCACGTTTATTTTACATGGGTTACATAATAATCCCGGTAGTGATCGCAAGATAATATCACTTAACACACACACACAGAAATTCTTAAAGTTCATGGGACTATATTGAATTATCAGCCAAGTATTTCGTTGGAAGTATTTTATAGTGTTTTCAGCTACGTATGGAAATAAGAAGTTTTATAAAGACTGGTCGAGTTCACGTTTAAAATGACCAAACATATCAAACTAGTAATGAAAGCCAGTAACTCGTCGCACCATGTTGATATTGATCTTGGTTGGACGACACAGAGTATAGGGATGACGATGTTCAGTTCACCAACAAACTGCGTGATATTGCAATATTTATTTCTGGAACGTTTTGTAAAGACATGTTGAAATTGAAACACATCATGTGTAGTTAAATAATTCTTGTTTTTGAACAAGTTTTCTGCACTTGAGATCACTATCACATTAAAGAGCTGGGGACGAAACTGAAGCGTATTTTAACCAGAATATGAAAGAAATAATAGTTTTTTTATAGGGTTGTGATATGAGTGAGAATCCTTATATGGTTTTGTTAAAGCTGTTTCTTCAGGACCATTTTGATACAGTTATCAAGGGCAAAGTTCTGGTTTCGAAAGAAAAAAATTATCTATCACGAAAATAATTTTTTTTTCTGGTTCGGTTCATAAAACAATACTATGGAATTTTAAACCCTTTTCAATATATTATGTTCCATGCTATCTATTATCAACGCCTGGAGATACCTTAGATTAACGGGTATTAAAAACGGCCGTATAATAGGTGTCGTCAGTAGCTACAGTTTTACAAATCCACACACAGACACGGGGTTTAGGGGGACCGAAAACAGATATATTACTACATACTCAAACTCGAAAATGTTCACAAAAACAATACTTCAATATAGACTACTATGTACAGGAATAGAAAGCAATATGAATAATGTAATAATTAATAGTAATTATTACATTGTCATTATAATACCATTACCATTACCATATTTTCAAGCAAAAGTCTCTTGGGCATAGCTTGTTTAGTAACTAGAGGAAAATACTAGACAAAGACAATCAATACGTAACCTTTTACATTACATAGCCAATGTACAATGTTACGTAGTGAAATGTGACAAATTTAGTTTGTGACAAATATTTTTTTGTGTGACTAATTAGACAAATATTGTTCTTTCCGCTTTCGTATGACGCTGTATGTTTTAACAAAAAAATCAGGGGACCATTGATTAAAGAATACACAGACTGTATTACGGGGCATTTGAAAACTATCATTTATCAGATATTAATAATATTTTATTTATTTTATTTTTCTAATGTAAATTATAATATAAACCAATAATATAAATTAGCCGTTTTTAGCTTTAAACTTGTAAACTGGCAAGTCACTTTTTTTATTTATAGCTAATAGAATAAGCTATTAGAAACACGTTGTTTTACCGTTGTTTACGTTGCTTTGACTGAAAGCTATTCTTCAATCAATTTTTTATTTATCTCAATAGCTATTTTAAACACGCGGTTCACAACCCTTCATTTGGGGAGCGAGCTGGTCTAGTACGAGTCTTCGATTCCAAAAAAATGTGCAAAATTGTGCAAACTGTGTAATTGCAAAATGAACCATACGCGTTTTTGAAAGATTGCCTAGGTAGCCTATCAAAACATATCCTCCTAAATCATCCCAATAACCCATCATCTGTCACAATGTTGTAAAGGTAAACTCTTTCCATCAAAAATCTTCAGAAACAGCCAAGTAGGCCAGTCCATGAAGCCACGACCCATCCAACTGCTCTGCCGCCATTAGCATATTATCGTGAATGTTTATTACTAATTTGTTAATTTGTTTGATTGTTGTGGGTTCACAAAAATCTGCTGAATGGTTTGAAATGGCAAAACAGCTGTTTCTATGCTTTTTCTAAACTTTCAATGACACCGTCTCTGCACCACCGTCGATGTGCCTGTGTAATAATCCCATAGAATCGCTGTCATTTTTGTTAAAACACCAAAGCACTATAATTTGAAAATTAAAGCCCATCGGTCAATAGTATCAAAAGCAGATTTGAAATCTACAAAAAAACCTATAATTTTCCCCCCTTTTAACTGATAGTCGTTATTTGACTAACATACTACTGTTGATTAAAAATGTTGTCTATATTTGAGCACCTTCGCCTAAACCCCGCTTAAAACTCTGTGAGGGTTCTACCCACCGGCTGGTTACCGCGTAAACATGGTCCTACAAAAAGAACCTCGAGGTATTATTAAAGTGTTTATCAAGTTGAAATACACTGTAAAATATTCACAAAGATCCAAACTATGCACTGGATGAACTGAAACTTCGTAATTGTTTATTTAAGTATTTACAAAGTCATTTTGAAAATCTGTAAATTAATCTTTTTCACGTGTGACTTTAACTTCTAAATAATAGTTTAAAAAAATCTTCCCATCCATTGCAAGCTCTGATTTGTTAAAAGCACAAAAAGCACACAATCGTTGGAAACAAATTAGGTTTAGAATGTTGAGAGCTTATACAATAGAGGCATGTCCAAACCCAAACTATATTTCAATCCATATAATCCGCCATCTTAGATTGAAATTCAGGCGGCCGGGTATAACCCTAGATTAAGCATACTCCCTTCCCTAAAGGAGTATGCTCAATACATGGTAGAACCATGGATCATAAACATAAACAAATGACGTTGTTGCATTGAACATATATTTTAGCAGTTCCATTGAAGCAATGTTAAATAATGTTTACCTAACCCGCCATGTTAAACTTCCCTATCCCAAGCGTGATGTATACAACTTCTTTACTTCACGAGTTATGTAAAGTTGAAAAAACTCACTCCGTGAGGTAATGAAACCCATTTAAATAACATTGAGTGGTTAACTTAAAAAATATACCTCTATGGAGCCAACGACGCTCAACGCTAGAAATCAGCTGTGCGCTTGAATTTTATTGTTATGCTTTAAAGAATTTTCCTAACCTAGCTTTTGTTTGTAAATGAACGTTAATGTTAGAAGATGTAACCTCCTGTATATTTTCGGGTCAGGTAAAATCTTGTACTTTACACGTTACGCAAGAGCTTGTTTACATCACTTAGGAGAATTATGCAACTAGCTTCCGCTCGTTGCACAACATTCACCTGCGTGATGTAAAGATGCTCTTACTACACTTGTAATGTAAATATCTATTACTTTCGGGCCAAAAACGTAATTTGTTTATGTTTATGATCCATACCGGTATTTTTATAGTAATCGTGGGTAGAACCCTCTTAAGATCACTCCAGTCTCTCAGTCTATTATTTATACTTCAAATAATAGAACACCTGGTTTTGTTACGCAATCTATGTACAAATAATTCACTTGAATGTTAACTTTTGATGTAGGTGTGAAATTTGTGTATTGCGCTGTTAAGTGTTCATTTTCGCTGATTGATTTGCGAAAATAACTTGTTTGAATGGGAGCAGTTAAGAAAACATTGTTTCGACCAAGTTGTAAACATTAACTAACGTTAACGCCGGAACCACTCTTGTAATGAAATACTGGACATTGACAGCTTGTAAAGGTTTACGGGTGTGGTCAATTTTTAAGTGCTAATGCAGGTATACTTGAATGAACACATTTGCTCAATTTTAGGAAATCGAAGTAGGGTAGTTTGTTTTAAAACAAATCTATACTGTATGTCCATCTCCACAAGGGTTGGGTGGCGACGGAAAAGATTGTGTGTTCATTTTTCACCAAAAGAGGTTTAATAGGTTAACATCTGATCCCCGTTTACGAGCTGTGGACAGTTCTACAATAACAATGTACCTAGTTGGATTGAGCATCTTACTGGGTGGGCTGTTGTAAATTACGAATTTATAACGTCGTATACACCAACTTTTTATCCAAACTAAACTGAACATACAATTTACTGTAATATATGGTATCTTTAATGTTTACATGGGTTAAAAATAAATAGAATTTTTGCAGTAAATGTTCGATTTTAATTGAAACGAGCTGCTATACTTCTATAGTGTTATACTTGATATAACTTCACAACGGGAACAGAACGCGGAATATAATAATTTTGTTCTTTAGATATGCTGTATAAAATAGCTAGACATATATTATTCATGTTAAAGTAAAAACCTTATTTTACCACCTAGTGAATTATGGTTTAAGCTTCATTTTGGTCTGCCATATGGTTATATTTTTATTCGATTAAACGATGACCACAAATTCGACTGTATTACAGGTATCACTTTCATAATAGATTTTTCCAATAATTTGTGATTTGCTGGTCCATATAGAGGATTATAAAATTCAGTATACATTCTATATATTCTGATACAGCATGTTGTGTCGTAGCAGAAGACATGGACCAGTATCTGCAGTACGTAGGAGGCCCCGTAGGTGCTCTGGCCCTCACGGCGGTGGCCGCTGGGTCTGCCTACTACCTAGCAAGTAGACCAACGCCTGAAAAACCACTCGTACCACTCGACCATCAGAGCTTCGTGCTTCCGGTGAGTCGAGCCTACTATACTTAGTTTTGTTGAAGCAAAATACTTCTTTCTAATGATTAACTTTGGTGGAACATCCACAAATGCCTTACATGTTATAATCATAAGTTTCAGAGGGTAAATATGGGGTTTTAAGGATGTAGACGAATAAAACATTGTAATGTCGTATTATAATTTTTATAGCAATTTCTGGCGGAAAATATAAGCCAACTAGCTTGTATACTTAAAGCTGGTCATATATAGTTTACAATAGTTAGTTTAGTTATATTCGACAGTTGCTGAGGAATATCTGATCAGTATCTTTTGGATAGTTAAATATACTGTAATTCAATCCTCCTATGTAAACTTAAGATCAATTAAGGGTGGTTGGTAAATGTGTAGTTAACTGTAAAATGTTCGTAAACTGGTGTGATTAATTATTTTGAAGCCTCTATCCAGTTACATGAGTGATGTACAATGTACATGTGATGAATCGTGAGACATCATGTGATGTTAGCAATGTGACACGTGACATCATGTGATGTTGGAAATGTTACATGTGACACCATGTGATACTGTGATGTCATATTGGCCTGAGTAGCGTCCCATTGAGCCCCTGCCAACGAAAACACCTCTTCGACATAGGCTATTAAAGTGTTGAAAATAACTCTTAATCTCTAAAATTTATTGGGTTCTAGATGGATGGTAGCTTGTTTTATTTTTATACTGTACAACGATAATTTCACGTGTTTTTGCAATGTACACAAGAAATTTATTGCTGGTGAATAATATTACTGTACTTAAATGAGTTAGTCAAATTAAGAGGGTTTAACTTAATTTACGTTTTGTTACAAAAGGTCACTGCCACTAGAATTCAATAATTCTTCATATATTAATTCAGAAATTCAGGAATTATATGTTAAGCAGCTGAACTACTATGTGGCATTTCCTTTACACCATTTATAAAATACAATACATTTTACATAATGCTACATTTTAAAGATTCAGTTCCCATTTGTTTGTTCTAAAAATTTTAATTTACAGAAATTATAAGTTATGGTTTAACGTCCTGTTTAGTAATACCATAGATAAAACATATTCTATGGTAATACTAGACATTCCATCCCCATGTTAAATTTGTAGCCAGCTTTTTTGCCAAAATCTTCGTAGTTGATGTGAGCCACCGACAGATCGTGCTGTTCTAAGTTACTGATTTCTGTTGAATACACAATTTTTTACCAATTCAAACTAATGGAAATACTTATTGTGATCTGTATCAACTGTTATGACAAATCAACTTGGCCAGCAACAATAAAATGAGGTGGAAAATATAAAATAAGAAAAATAAGGTGGAGTTTTAGTCACTAGTGCATTCTGTGACTGGCTCACACAACTACAGTTTTTAAACAAAAATCTGGCTACAGCTGGTCCATATGGAGGGATAAGTTATGAGTTGAAATTGGTAAATATTTGATTTTATCGGTAAATAATCAAAAAGACAAGTTCAATATGTGCTTAGTCTCTGTGATATTGAATAAAATTTAACCTATCAATAACCCAAACAAACAGCAAAACGAACCAATTTTTTACAACCACCTCACACCGTTCAACAATCGAACCAATCCTGCATTACACCCCGAATCTTTATATTTATCAAGGTATTAGCAGATAGAATAATACTTTCAGCTAACTATCAGACGAGCTGATAAACTATAGTCCTGCCAGAGTTAACAAGCCCGACCCATCGGTTCAATTACAAGCTTGTCATAACAGCTTGGGGCGCAACAATGACCGCGGAGAACACCCGTGAGTCACGTGTGTGTCTCGTGATTGGTCGACATCACTTGGGTGGTCACGTGACTTGGTGACGTAAGAGCCATGCAAAACTAACTAACCTATAGGTTCACTTTGGCACACGTGTCTCTCTGCATTGTATCTCAGAGAAACTAAACTTATTGATTAAATTAGCTGGGTAGCCGAGTGGATACTTCGCTCTCGAAGTAATTCAAGGGGTTGCAGGTTTTGCCAGGCAAGTCTGTAGTTCGATGGCTCGATTGGTTGACTAGCTAAATAGTTCTGGCTTATAGCCAAGACAATCTTACCCAGCAACAAAGCTATCATCTCATTCATTCGAAACTCGACCTTAACTCTTCTTTCCCTTAAAATACGCACCCTTTTGTGTTGAGGTTGGCGAAATCTAACGTGTGATGTGAAATCCAAATCAAACTTATATAATTTAAAATATAAACATCACCAATATTTTATGAACTTTTAATTTTATTACAATTATTTCATAAAATTAAAGATTCGTAAAATATTGGTGATGTTTTTATTTCAAATTATATTCATTTCAATTACCAGATCTTCTTGAAGATTAAATTAGAAACGTGTTAAACCTTAGTAGGCCTTTATTGGATTGTTAATTTCCAATTAATTATCACTAAAATTAATAGACGTGACTGGTCTTTTTAGCGAATTTCCCTATAGGGAAGTAGCTATTACCGTAGGTCTCATGGTAAGACTTAGGCCCGGGACCGATTTACTTTTTCATTTTAATGTCCCCAGAGGCCAAAAACACCATTCGTTCAAATTTTTATATATGTATATATATATATATATATATATATATATATATATATATAGATATATATATAGATTTATATATATATATATGTGTCCGTGAACACGATAACTTGAGTAATTTTTTATCCGATTTTGATGAAATTTGGTTTGAAGGTGTAAGGCGGGATAAACTTGAATGAGTTCGCGATCCAGCATGATCGGACCATGGGAACAGGGTTTTATGGGGGGTTTTATGGGGTAAAAATTGGTTTTTCTCACTTTTTACCCTCAAAACACAAAATTTCCCAATTTTTCTCTAAACCTTCTTAAAGAGCTTAAAAAAACAAACAATTCAGTATATCAAAGTGTTTTTGTACGGTTATTGGTTACGGAGAAAACTAAAAAAATGGTAAATTTAAAATTCCCATGTTATTCTTATGGAGAATATTGTAAAATGTTGTAGTTTGCTTGTTTATGGATATATTTTGATAAAACTTGGCAAATTTATTTATTTTATAGTAAGCTATCAATATTTTACTAAAAACACACTACTTTATTAGTTTCCTTGTAGCAGCAAACCTAGGTACTCGTTAAACCTAATGTTATTTAAATAGATCAATTGAAAATCAATTCGGCCAAATGGAAATTCGCTTAGACGGCAGGTTTGCTGCGGCGGGGGTATTTTGTTTGCACGTCGCACTTGTATGAATATTTCTATCCTCAGACTGTTGTAATTTTGTGTTTGTTGTAAGCTTTTCTGTACCATTGCGATGTATCCACACTTAAAAATGCTTATACTGATACTGATTTAGCTACCATTGTAACTGGATTATGCCGTGATAAACTTCGATTTTTAACACCTAAAATGACCTGACAGTTATAAATTAAAAGGTATGTCGTAATAATTTCGTCCGTTTGATTCCAAATTGGCTTCGACTCTTGACTTTTGTTTAAAATGTTCTGCATTGTTATTGATAACAGACTGTTCATTCCACTCAGCCAACTCTTTGTATTGTACTTGAATCTAAAACTTGGACGCAGATCAAAATCTAACATAGCATCAATGTGATGTTTTGCACACACGAGTTTAGATATTGCAGCATGTCTTTCAGCGTTTGATGGATCCAAACAATGATGTTTTAAAACCTTTATTGGGCTATTTTAAATTAAATAAAAGCGTCTTAATCATTCGTCAGTTTGCTTCCAAATTGGCCACCTCTCCCTATGTGTTCTAAAAGCATCTGCTTTGTTATTGACTATCACGTCTGTTCTTACTGTTTTCAACCAACACAGCGCAATGAAGTAGCCAAAACGGGATTTATTACGTTTGTTGAGGTGAGATCATTTCATATCTGGCGCTTCGCCCGCATTCTTGGGGGATCTGTCGCTTTCCGACCTCATGAATTCGGGAACACCATTCGCTTGTAGCCTACAAAATTGACTCTTGAAATCAAACGCATTATGACGTGTCGATTCAGTGAGTCCACTGTTCGTGCGTATAAATGAGGAAATAAATTTAGCCTGTGTTTGTAAAGAGTTGCAAAGAGCAAGTGGCAGCGACAAAGGTGGGCTCAAACTTGGCAAAGGGGTGTTTTATTTTGGTACCACAACAACCTTGTCGCTCCTATGTGTTTGTGGGCTCAGACAGTAATTGCATCAGATTTCTCCGATCACCAAACCCCATGGAATTTCTGTAACACGATTAAAATATTTGAAAAGGTTTTATCGGCACTTAAAAGAAGGTTTTTTAAGTATTGATTAAAGCGATCATGTTTGATGATGAATGTTTTTCACAGGGGCAAACGTTCAGAGAACCCCATACTGTACGACAAAGTAGATTTGGATCCAAGTCATTCTGTAGTAAAAAAAGGTCCTAACACTTACAGGGAAGCTCAACGTAGAAAATAAAACATTTTATGTATTTGATTACCAAATAGGCTAACAGATTGCAAATAATTTGTGTTAATAAAATCTCCTACCCCATTTATTTATCATCCGCTATTTTTGTGTACGGATTATTCTTTTAACACCATTCAATCATTTACGTGGACTTCATGCGGCATTGAATGGAATCTTGTTTAAGAACACTGTCAAAACTAATTTTAATTCCTGATTGTTCCCAAGATTTGAGATTTTGCAACACATTTTTTCTATCAATTTACGATATTCATGGTTCTTGCTATGCTTCCATAATAAAATTTACAATCGGGACAGAAAGAAATAGAAAAAGTTAACAAATCTAGACACATTCAGAACAAACTGCTTCTTTTAACTCCTTACCTACACTGATAAAACCATGAACCGTGTTGATACAATTTTAGTTCTCTGACAAAAACTTATTTGAAGACGAAAGCGATGAATCGCAAGGGAAGAGGAGTGGAAGAAGAAGAAAAAGAAAGGCTTTGGCAAAGTACCAAGGTGTCTGTCAGCCGAAGGAATGTCAGGCAGTCCATCTCCTGTCA